TAATTATGTGTTGTGTCTGGGGTTGTTATAGGTCTGCTTGACTCTCAATGTCTTAGGCCTAATTGAACGCAGGAATTGTGATATTCTTCTGTAGCCGACGAGTAATTTAACCCTTGTTCAAGTGAACTCAAAGACATCCTATAGACTATTTGTGAATGGCTGTTTGCTGTGTCAATACGGTGAATCCTGTATATAGTGCTTGCATAGACTTGCATACACTTGTAGCTGTTATGTATCTTTGGAAGTCCTTGAAATGAATGGGTTTCATAGCGCTGCGCATTCCGCGTCTGAAAGGCGCTTAAATCCTTTGCACGCGCAAGTGCATGAACACCCCCCCACCCCCCCAAAAAAATGGGCTCCCCCAAAGGACACGGTATAGTTCGAACACTGATTATAGCCTAATTGTTAGGTGAGCATATGGATTACACACTCACAATAAAAGACCTGTTAGTTAAAACCTGCATAACGAAGTACTCATAGTGTCCTGCAGGGGTCACAAATGCTGTCTCCCACTCGTTCCTCTCATTTATCCAGATGAGGTTATGCTTTGGAGGTCTTTAGTGAAAATGGAAGCACCGCAGAGTTGTTTCAGGGCTGTTGGGACCAGATCGGTGTGGAAGTGTGCTCTTGGGAAACAGTTGAGGAAGCAGGTCTCCCCCATCACAGAACATCTCCCATGCTCCCGTAGTGAAGTTTTATTCTTCCACGCAACAGACCAGGAGACTCTTGAGGTATCTTTCACGCAGAAGTTCTTTATTGCGTCGCTGTAGTCATCTCAAAGATAGTCTGATTTAAAAGAACCTTACATTCTAATTTATACATTTCAAAGAGGGTGGGATTACCTAAAGGTGGAGACACTGAAACAAAGCAAATGGAAATGCATGTGACCCTGGAACTCCAACTTTCAAGGCAAATGGTCTCAGACATTAACATACAGTAGCAGCTGTTCTAACTTCAGGCATTTTCACGCGGCGAGACGAGAAACAGGAAAAGCATGGCTTTCCCGTATGGTCAAAGGACAGTCAGGAGGGTCACACTGGGAATTCCTACTGTTTTCAGACTTTCTCCATTTAAAACATTAAAGGGGTCATGAACTGGCTTTTAAAATGTTATTATATTGTTATCTGAGGTCAACTTAAGACGTTCGCTTGGTTTTTGCATTCTAAAACATCAAAATGAATAAGTAATAGGCTATTTTGTACCCAAGTTGTGAGCCTTCCTGAAAAACGGTCGGTTTTTATGGGCGTGTCGCGCTGAAGACTTGGAAATAAACGCCCACTGCTGTGAGTTGATAACAGTTTTGCATATTATAATGAGTTTCACTCACCCGTCGGTGTATGTGGGGGAAAACGTCCAATTTTGTCAAATGGCAACCGGATTCACCCATACATGTTCGACCCAGAGTCCGTGTGTTGCACAATTCCTGTCAGATCCAATATAGACGGCACAGCACCGTTCTTTACTCTTAATCGGTCTGCAAATCCAGTCTTGTTTACAAAACAATCCTCAGTGAAATGAAGCGAACAGACGACGATGTTTTACCCTCATCAGCTGGAACGTCATTAAAAATAAAGTTTATCCATGAAGTCCTATTGGAATCCAGAGGAAGCTTATGCAGCGACTGTCTTCTTTCACAACCAGGCACTGCAAAATATTCTGTATTGCTCGGTAGAACGATCCGGTTTCATCACGAGGTAGACATGTAAGTTAGGCTACTTAGCTATGCGTGTATTGCGCGAATCGGTGGGCGGGGCTAAACCGACCGTGTTGAAGTAGGTGTTGATCTTCTTCTGCGGGGGTGGTGTTTTAACCCCTTCGACGTCATAGTTTCCCACTTTTCAAAACGAGACGTTTTCAGAGGCTGGTGTAAATAAAAGCTTTTATTGGACTAACAAGGACGTTTTCAGTTCTGAAACTTACAGGATATTCTTATAATATGATAACCTCTTAGATATTAAAAGCTCAAGGAAAATTTGATTTCTCAGTTCATCACCCCTTTAAATTAACCATGTTAATAAAATGTGTAATCTCACACTCCACAATATCCCGAGTTGATGTTGTATCAGAGAATGGACGCCCCAGAATGACACCAGCGGTGGAAACACCCAGAACCAGAGGAGCAAAAGACTCTACATGCAGGCTGCCAAAGCGCAGCAAAATTGGCTTTACTTGATGATGGACGTTCTTCCTGTTACTAATTAATTTATTGTACAGGGTTTAAAGGTAGTGTAGGTAAGAATTTTATAAAAACTTTTTTCCAAATTTGTTTAAACTTTCTATAAATATCACTGCATAATTAACATCTAAGTACTCTGAAAAAACTCTAGACCGTTTAATCTGCACTAAACACAGCTCTTTATTTCGAACCGGGACGAAACAACGGATTGGCTTAGGCGACTGTCACTCTCTCGCAACCATGGCAACCACCCTTTTGCCACACAGGACCTGCCCACTTGCGAGTATCCAGATTGTACCTGTTTGCATGCCCTTGTTTGAGCTTGAAGATGCAAAACTCGACGCAGGTCCTCTTGTCTAAAAAGTGCTCCTTGCCCTGCACTTCGACTACCCCGTCCTCGGCCTCTACTTCCTCGGACCATAATAGCACGGCCTCTTGCACGACCTCCTCTGCTTCGGCCTCGACCACGGATCTGTCCTCGAGCTGACGATGCGGTACTTGCTTTTGTAGACTTGGAATTAAAGCCTCTTGGGTTTCCCCGTTATTATTCAATTTACGGGACCGGACACCAGTTATCTTGCCAAGAAAGTTTTATTATATATTATATATATGTCAGGAGAGAAACTTCATGATGTTGTGTTCATGCCTGGTCTATGCGTTTCTCCATGTTCCTCTACCCTCTCACCCGGTCATGCCTACATGTTTCTCTAAGGGTGGTACAATGTGACATTGAGTTTTATACATCATACAGTCTTACAGCTTCCTTGTAAGGTAACAAACATGTTGCTCTGAGCTTCTCAATTTAGAACGTATATGTCATACGTGCGCTACTTTCCTTGTTATGTACATCTGTGGTACACTTGCATCAGTGGAAACATTTATGCTGAGTGAACATGTTACATTGCACACATACCTCTCTAAGCAATATATAGCTTTCCCCTGACATATGTTCTTTTCATGCATTCAAACTTGAAACTCCATAGGATAATACAGTGATTATGAAAACTAATAAAGAATAATAATACAGATACATAATATTTAATAATGAAATAATATTAAAAGATGAAATTTTAGTCTTCATCTCCCTCCACTGGAACTACGGCCGTAAGTTCCACACCATCATTCCCAGGTGGCCAACCTATAGAAGTGATAGTGAGGAGAAGAAATAGCAGACCAAGAAAATAGACAGAAAGAACAGAAGAATAGAAAAGGAAAAACAAAACAAAGAACAAAAAGAACAAAACCCCAACCCGTGTTATGTCCCCGTATACTATGTGTTTTTTTTAATATCTATGTGTATGTATTTAAAATGAACCCCAATCATCTAAAAAAAGAAAAAAAAACTAATAAGTCTTCTGCTCGTGCCTGGACTCATTAATTAATTAACTCGTTAACTAATTAAATCCCCCAGTTCCGAGCCAAAATAAGAAATTAAAATAAACGTTGATGTTAAAGGGTCCTATCCCTTGGGGTTGAAAATCAGTAAGCGGGTGTTCATTGTTTGTGAGGTAATGTTTTGTAAGGAATACATAATAACTTGCAACCATCTTTAATAAATGTCAATGGAATTGATTCCTGAAATGGAAGCAGAAAAATAGTTAGCATCACTTATTTGTTCCCAATCTTTAAAACTAATCGATGAACATTGCTCAGTCTCAACAGTTTGTTTATTCACTAAGCAAGGTTTAACTTGTGACCAATGATACCATCTATCTGTTCCTACACCCTCCCCTTTGAGACAAACACTTGTATGTTAAGAGTATCTCATAAGGTCCTTCCCATCTAGACTCTAAACCCTTCCTAGCAATTCGTTTGATCATAACAAAACTGCCTATCTCGGGAATGTGTGGAATGTCAGTAGTGGTGTGTTTTTCATCCCATTGCTGTTGAGCTTCTCGCACTTTCTTATTATTGTCCATGATTACAAGTATATACTGATACCCTCCACTAGGTGACAAAGGTCCTGTGAAATCAATTTGGAGATGTGTCGGACCTGTTGGTCTGGGTGCATGTGACATTCGCACCTTTACAGATTTTCCCACATTTGCTTTGAGGCATATCAAACATCTCCTACAATAATCATCAATGTCTCTCATCATTCTTGGCCACCACCACGTCTCACTGATTTGAGCTTTCATTGCTTTTGCTCCAGCATGCACTTTTCCATGATACAGCTGCATTAGTTCTCTTCTTGTTCCGATAGGCATCACTACTTGTCCTGTTGGAATTCTCCAGATTCCTTGATCATCCTCTTTCGCTCCCGCTTTTATCCATTGTTCTTTCTCTTCATCTGTCTCCAATTGATATGACAGAAGATGGAGCTCAGGATTATCCTTGGTATTTTCCTTTACCAGGGTAACAGGAGTAGGATGGAGTAGAGCTGCTTCTCTAGCTGCTGCATCTGCTGCCGTGTTTCCTTGAGTTTCTTTGGACTTGTCAGATTGATGTGATTTTACTTTGATCACGGCTGCTTCTCTAGGTAAGTGACATGCTGTAATCAAGCGACGAATTATGGAAGCATGTTGTATTTCGCTCCCATTGCTGGTGATGAGTCCACGTCTCTTCCACAGGGCAAGGTAGTCATGGACCACACCAAAAGCATATCGACTATCTGTATAGATGTTGACTCGTTCTCCTTCAGATAATTCAAGAGCTTCTGTAAGTGCTATGAGCTCAGCTACTTGTGCTGAAAGTTTGCCAGGAAGAGCTCCTTTCTTCACAACAGTTCCATCAGCTTGCACTACAGCCCATCCAGTGTGTCGTTTTCCATCAACATAGTAACTGGATCCATCGACCCATAACTCCTTGTCTGGATTTTCAAGAAGGATTGGATTAACAGGACCAAGGCTATCTTCTTCTACTTGTTTTACACACTCATGTGGTATTCCCTCATGTGGTTCCAGCATCATTGTTGCAGGGTTAAGAGACGTGTCTCTGATGATTTCCACTCTCAAATCCTTGTTCAACAAAGTAGCTTCCCATTTTGCTCTTCTTGCGTCGGTTATGGTTTTGATGTTTGTGTTGTTCAACAATGTCACTATACTGTGTGGAGTGTGCAATATGATAGTTTGTGCTCCTATCAGATTCTCAACAGCATCCACTGCCCATGTGGCACCATCGAGAGCTTGTATACATCGTGGTTGCCCAATCATAGTGACAGGAATCTTTGTGGAAAAGTATCCAACTGGTCTGTATCGATCACCTGGTTTTTGACACAGTACTGCTGAATACGTCTCATCTCCTACACTGGTCCACAAATGAAACGGCAATCGTCCATCGGGAAGTCCCAAAGCTGGAGCTGAAGTCAGTTTTTCTTTCATAGAAGTAAACGCTTCCTCAGCTTCTGGTGTCCAGTTAATCTGTTCCACTCCCGGCTTTCCTCCCTTGTACAGGTCAATGAGAGGGCTGGTGATGCTAGCAAAATCGGGTATATACTGACGACAATAGTTGAAAAGTCCCATCACCTTTCGCATTCCTGTAACTGTTAGAGGTTTTGGAAGTTGTCGTAATGCTTCTACACGCTCTGTTGTCATTCTCCTTCCCTCCATAGATATTTCTTGGCCCAAATAGATAACTTTGGATTTGGCCAGCTGTGCTTTGTCGGGGTTAACTTTAAATCCCCCTTTCCTAAGGGCTTGTAGGACAACATTCAGAGCAAATATATGGCTTCTTTCATCTGGGCTTGCAATCAACAAGTCATCAACATATTGGAGGCAGACACTTCCTGATTTCTCAATTTCAGCTTTTTGTTCCGTTAAGAACTGGTTCAAAGCTCTATGAAATACAACAGGAGAAATATTAAGACCTTGTGGGAGTCTGTTCCAGACATATTGTTTTGCGCCTACTGTAAAGGCTAATTTCTCTTGAGATCTTTTGTCTATAGGTATAGACCAGAAAGCAGACAGTACATCCAGTACCGTAAAAATTTTAGCATTTCCTGGAATATCATTCAGAATAGTGGCAGGATTGGCTACAATAGGATGCGGTTTTGGTGTTACACTGTTAAGTCTTGTATAATCAATGGTTAATCGCCATGAGTTATCTGATTTCTTGACAGGCCAGACAGGACTATTAGTGGTAGATGACGTTTGTCTGATGATACCTTCAGCTTCCAAGTCAGCCACTATTTCCTCAACGGCTTGTCTTGCTTCAGGTCGGATGGGGTATTGTTTATGAGGGGCATGTGTCGGTCCCTCAATAACAATGGGGTCAATGTTGGCTTTACCACAATCCAGTTTGTGTTTAGCCCAAACATCTGGATACAAACTGCATAGAAGACCCCACACACCATCTTTTGTCCAGTTCCTGATAATTGGTTTTGCTGTACCAACAGACCTTAGATTACATGTGCGATCTTCGTGTGGTATTATCCCAGCAGTTGTGGCGATATGACGACTGTCAGTGAATATGATCATGTTTAACAATGGAAGAATGTCCATGCCAATTAGGCTTCCTTGTGAATTCGGCCCCACCCAAAAAGATGTCCATAAGACTTCATCTTCATGTATTTGCAGTGGAACTTGAATACTTTTGCGAAATTTTGTGATACCACCTCCAACACCTTCAACTTCCATAGTTTCATCTGTTGTAGGTAGGTTCAAATCTGTTATTGAAATTGAGGCGCCTGTGTCAACCAAAACATCACATGGGTGGCCCCCTATTAATGCATTAACGAAAAGGCGATTGTCTTTTTTCTTACTAATACAGGGGGCCGCTAATTCCTATTGCGGACGCATAATTCCCTCAATGAGCTGACGGACTTGTGCTTCAGTCAACGTCTTCTCTTGAGAATTTTCATTATGGTCTTTGGTACTGACCTGTTTAAATGATGGACCTTGACCTTCTGCTCCACCTCCTTTAGCCCAGCAATCTCGTCTAACGTGTCCACGTTTTCCACAATTGCTGCAGAAAACCATCTTATTCTTTGTGTCTTTGTTGTATTGAGCTGTCGCCACTCCTCTTCGGTATGGCTTGTTTCCTTCTTCTTTGTTTGACCTCATAGCCATCTCCAAACGGCCAGCCCATTGCATGATTTGGTCAAATGTCTCACCTGGGTTGACTCCAAGTGATAAGGCTTGTTGGTATTTTGGGCCAAGTCCATCCACAAGTGTGTCAATGAACTGTACATCATCTCTGTCAGGTTGTTTCTTAGCACAGAGAGCCCATCTCTCATAAGCATTCCACTTACGTAGAGCATACTCATCTGGAGATTCATCATCCTTTTGCTTAATCAATGTCACTAATGTGAAGGGAATTTTACCACTGCCCAAAATTTCCTGGATTTCTCTTCGGAATACATCTAAGGCTTGCCAAAGACCCAGGGGTCGTCCCTGGTCATCAACCCACAAATCTATCCATTGGGCAGTTGTTATTGAAGCTGGCAAGCGTTCCCATCTGTCTCTTGGGATTTTAGCTTTCACAATGGTGTGAATGTCTCGTAGTGTCATTTGATGTGGTTCGACAAGAGAGTCTAATTCTCGCCAAAACTCTGTGTTTGGATCTTGTCTCTTCAGAGGAGGCAAGGCTGTTAGAATGGCTTGTCGTTCACCTGGAGTGAATGGTCTCTCTTCTGTCATTAATTCAGATCCTTCCTTTTTAATTACTGGTGAAGAAAGTTCAGGACCGATCTTGTCAATTGTGATCATGTCGTCATCTCTTGTCTCATCACCCCAGTCGGATCCATAATTACAAGCTGGTGTACAGCGCAGCATGTCTCTGTTGGGATGAACTGTTTTAGATCTTGTTATTATTGGAGCTGCTTGTGCAGAAGCAATATACATTTTGTCAACTGGACCATTTGATCTCAAAGCTTGAGGCTGTGTCAGTGGTTTAGAGGAACTTGTACATTGTTCAGGCAAAACTGGATACATTGGGTTATAAGGAGGAGGCGTTACAGTAGTTGCAGATTTCACTGGTGCTTGTGAATATCTCTTTTCAGCTTCAGTTATTATATTTGTCCAATCTGGATCAAATGAATTATCATTGGTTGTGTTTTCTTTATCTGAACAGTTAATAGACATAATTTTGTTCAATTTGTGAAATGCTTCAATTTGAGGCTTCATTGCTTCAACAAGTGGGGCTGGACATCCATCTATGCCACAGAAGATTCCACCTTGTTTCACAATCCAATGAGCTGCCAGTATTGGAAATGCTTTTGACTTGATGGAGTCTTTTTGCGAATCAAACCAGCTTAGCTGCACATCCAAAGATGCATTAACATCCAGTCCTTTTTTCAAAAGCTTAGCTTGCTTTTTCTGTTTTCTTTTTAAATACCAATCAGCTATTGTTCGGCTGTTAAGACCACTTTCTGCCATAGCAAATTATTTGTCACTCTGTGACTGTGCACTCAAACAGCAGGGATATTTTGGGAGTGAGTGTGTGTGTGTGTGTATCTCTACTGTGCGTGAATTCCAAGGGGGGGGGGGGTCCCTCTGCTTCTCTCTCTCTCTCTCTGCTTCTCTCCTTCTCTCCCTTTCTCCTGCTCTAATAACTCAAAGAACAAAGAAGGGGAAAGGAAAAAACAAAAAAAAAACAAAAGTTAACTCTAATAATTTGTTTTCTTTGTGTATTTGTTTGCTCTATTTTTTTATTTTTAAATTTTACTTAGTTTATTTGAAGTTGCTCTCAGATCAGCCTCTTCCTCTCAATACTGAACAGCTTTATTGTCAAAATCAGAAAGCACACAATTCTAGCTACTTCCATTGATACCCATCTTCTAAGGGCTCAATCAGCGTGTTTAAAATTTTAGGGCGCCTGTATTTCTAAATACGGAATCCTGTGCGTCCTATAGCACAGACCCGCCACCTTAAACCGCTATAAATCACCGCTTTGACACACTATCCTCGTTTTCTAAAACGATTCTTCGGTGTGTTGGAAATATTTTAGAGATTACTCTGCCATCAGTTTTTACAGTCTCGCCATATTCCAACCACCTTCCAGTCATGCCAAGCAAATTGCTAAATCGCTTTACTGCTATTCCAAATATTTGACTAAATGGTCTTTTTTCTAAAAAAGATACACTTTTACTAAAGTCTTTTCTAAAATGAAAAAAACTTCCCCAGCATCATTCAATATTTCAGAGGTCTACTGAACAGAGCAACTCAAACAAGCCACATCAAATTCTAATTATTTAAATTATTTTCTTTTTTCTGACATATATATTCATTGGCAAAACAACTGGTACTTTAAACAACACAGTTCTTTTAAGCAGTTTCAGTCAATGTCCAATCATCAGGCAGACTTCAAATTATTTTTTAGAATAGGAAAAAGTCTTACCTTGAATGATTGAGACAAATGCCTGAATGCCATCCTGTTCGTGACGCCAAATGTAGACTTGGAATTAAAGCCTCTTGGGTTTCCCCGTTATTATTCAATTTACGGGACCGGACACCAGTTATCTTGCCAAGAAAGTTTTATTATATATTATATATATGTCAGGAGAGAAACTTCATGATGTTGTGTTCATGCCTGGTCTATGCGTTTCTCCATGTTCCTCTACCCTCTCACCCGGTCATGCCTACATGTTTCTCTAAGGGTGGTACAATGTGACATTGAGTTTTATACATCACACAGTCTTACAGCTTCCTTGTAAGGTAACAAACATGTTGCTCTGAGCTTCTCAATTTAGAACGTATATGTCATACGTGCGCTACTTTCCTTGTTATGTACATCTGTGGTACACTTGCATCAGTGGAAACATTTATGCTGAGTGAACATGTTACATTGCACACATACCTCTCTAAGCAATATATAGCTTTCCCCTGACATGTTCTTTTCATGCATTCAAACTTGAAACTCCATAGGATAATACAGTGATTATGAAAACTAATAAAGAATAATAATACAGATACATAATATTTAATAATGAAATAATATTAAAAGATGAAATTTTAGTCTTCACTTTCTTATACTGTCTATGGGTAACTTACTTGTCTAGGGAGTGTAGTCCTCATCAGAATCAACAATGCTTTCATCAAGCAAACTCTTACATGCAGAACATTATATATATGTTATGAATCTTACACGAAATTCATCTTCATCACAGTGTAAATGATGGCAATGGAAAAACGTGTATGCAACCTGTTTTTAGCTTTGCCTTATAGATAACTAGCTCGTTAGCGAATCAATAAATATAGATTGTAAACTTTACCAATATCAATATGCTAGCTTGATAGTGAGTAATAAAATACAACTTATTTGTTTATCTTCATAATGATAGTTAGATTTTTTTTATTTACATGTGTTTTTGACATGATGTCACTACATTCACTCCTTCCTCTCCTCTCCGCTCGTTTCAGGTAAATAATGCGTCTTCAGCTCAGCTGTCGGAGTCGGAAGGGGCCCAGAATGGAGGGGGTGAAGTGAATGGAAATAATGAGCTGTGTTTAAAACAGTCGTGAGAGGTCGTAACAGTTGTAAAACTACGTCGTTGCTTACACATTGAATGATTCTCATTGGCTAAGAATAAACTCAGTAATTTTGCACACATATACAGATGTATATGTGAACGAAGCATATCTCCATCGATGATGTATCTGACATTCAGAGGCACGTCATGACCTTCCAGGTCACAGATTTGGGTTGCTGGCGCCAGTGTGTCCAGAACTCATTCAATCTCCAATAATGGCAGTGGTTCCTTAACCTGCGACCAAGAAGACTAACACTAAACTTTAGTCTAACTGGAGTAAGACTTAAGAAATGGTGCCTTAAACTATTGGTGTAACAATCACCAGCTGGAGTGCCCCTGAGAGACACCAGAGGGCACTCCAGATTAGACTATTTTCACTCACAACTACATTTCCCAGAACTCACTGCCCCGACTCATCATCACTGATCACATTCACCTGTACCTCATTCACTGATTGCATTCACCTGTCTTATCATCCTGTTAGTCTGGCTATATATACCAT